CTTTTTAAATTTCTCAAGATTATCATTACCTTTAAGAGAAAACTTGAATGCATTGTGAAATACCAGATTCAGGAATACTGCAAATTTAGCAATTTTTTAAATAATCTTTTAAAGCATGTGGTATGGGCACATACAAATCTCACTAACCTCATCTTTCTTGTATCATTTCAAACACAGAAAGCCTTCAATTTTTTTTTTATTACGTTTCTTTATATTTGAGAGTCAGAGAGAGACGGAGCGTGAGAGGGGGAGGGGCAGAGAGAGTGGGAGACACAGAATCCAAAGCAGGCTCCAGGCTCTGAGCTGTCAGCACAGAGCCCAACGCAGGGCTTGAACCCACGAACCGTGAGATCATGATCTGAGCGGAAGTCGGGCGCTTAACCGACTGAGCCACCCAGGCGCCCCACACAGAAAGCCTTCAAATCTCAGAAGACACATTTTTCTGAGTATAGCACAGTCCATGTTTTATACTTTCATTTGAGTAGAAAGGAAATGGGACTATTCAGTAGACAGTAAATGGTGGATGGAGTCTGACTACTCCCAGCTACCCTCCACCATCAACTCTCAGTAAGTAGACTGAATCTCCTTCTGCTGCAAAACTTAGGAAGCAAATAGATGCATTAGTAGGATAAAGGCCCACACCTGCATATATTCAGAGCCACTTTGGTGCAAGGAAAAAACAATCATTTTGGAGAATAAACCAAATGACCTGTTAATGGGTGTTCTAAAAGGTTAGACACTGGGTGAAACTGAGGGTTGGTTACACCAAGAGATAAGAAAAAAAAACATTATGACAAATATCACCTGGACCAGGAGGGAGGAAGTAAGAATGAGGAAGGAAAATTATTTTTTTCTGCTTAACAGCAGAAAATATATACACTTAATGGTGTGTATCCTGCATATGCGAAAGTATCTAATATACACAGATGCTTTTTATGAATACCACCAATCATACCTATTCCCCTGGATTCAACTATTTGTTCACTCCACAGTTGTTTTTGTAGGTAGTTGGCTAGTCTAACTACTTAAGTTACATTCTGCTAAAAGAAAACATAGCATAAATGACATAATGTTATAGACTGACAATAATCCAGAATATATCATTTCTCTCCCTAGACATCTTCAAAGTTCTTTCTCTGTATGTGGAAGAGAAATCCTACCTGCATCTCTTAGGCTGTGCTATCAACTAGCAGTCGCACTTGGGAGAATCACATAACTTCCTTAGATCCCATATGTAAAATGAGGCACTTCATTATTTCACTTATAAAGTTCTATGTGCACACACCTAATAAATTTATCATGCCCATAAGATATGATGAGTTTGTGATAGAGATGTGAAATAAGCTTCATACATCCTGACATGTTTATAGTATCAACCTTTAAGTACGTGTATGTAGATTTATTTTTTCTTGTAGCAACAGTACGGAATCCATGCCTTTAAAATGAAGAGGTTCCTGTATTCCTTACATATTTAAAGTCAACAAATAAAACTAATGAACTGGTAACTGTATTCAGAGCAAAATTAAAATAAACATGAAAAATGTAAGGGATTGTTGACATATCTCTTCCCTTGTCAAACATATCAATCTTCACACAGGCCTGATGAAAAACTTGAATATTTTTTCCCTTTACATTGTTTTCTTTTTATTTATTTTGAGAGAGAGAGAGAGAGAGAGAGAGAGAGAGAGCACGCGAGAGAGAAAGTGAGCATGAAAATAAGCAGGGGGAGGGGCAGAGAGAGAATCCCAAGCAGGCTCAATGCTGTCAACGCAGAGCCCAATGCAGGGCTGGGTCTCAGGAACCTATTCGTGTGCCATCATGACCCGAGTCAAAAGCCAAAATCAAGAGTGGGACGCTTAAGCGACTGAGCCATCCAGGCACCCCTCCCTTTACATTGTTTAGGACCATTAGTCCCAACTAACACAATACCATGCTTTTAACTATTTGTTAAATTTATCAATATCTTAATGGCAAGATAAATTACTTTTACCATAACAATAGCTATTTCTATATTCTTTCTCTTTCAAAATCTCTCAAACCACATTTTCAAAACATGATGTCTAAAAAGAAACTTATAAAGGTGTTTGCTGTTTTACTGATCAAACTTTAAGGATCTATGCCATTGGCATTTCTCAGAGTATGAACGCAAGTTTTTAATTTCTTGTTAATCCTTGCTATTTTTTTCTGCACTAGGAATGGGTTGAATGTGTACTTGTAGTGTTACTTACACTCTTTTTTTTTTTTAATTTATTTATTTTGAAAGAGAGAGAGAGGGAGAGAGAGAGAGAGAGAGAGAGGGAGAATCAGTGGGGGAGAGGCATAGAGAGAGGGGACAGAGGATCTGAAGTGAGCTCTGTGTCCACAGCCATGAACCTGATTAGGACTCGAACTCACAAATTGTGAGATCATGACCTGAGCTAAAGTCGGAAGCTTAACCAACTGAGCCACTCAGGTGCCCTGATAGAATCTGTCTTTGAATTGCTCATTTACTCTGATTTGTATTTGATTCTAAGATGCCAAGATGTTAAATACAACATTAATTTATTAATGGCATTTCTGGAGAATAGAGGCACTACTCTCTAAGACAAGTATGTACATTGACCCCAGCACTCAAATTTATCCTATATGAAAATATAGAAGAAAAAAAGTGTGAGATAGAAAAAAGGAAATATATATATTTATCAATATATATGCATATAAAATATTCTCCTCTGTATATTAATATGTACATACATACACATTTCATTTACTCGCCTAAACACAATTTATTATTTTGGGATTGTAGAAACTGATGCTGAAGTAACCTAGGAAAAGTAGTACACAGTGTAAATTTAAGGAGAGAAAAATCTGTGTTCCAGATTTTAATCCCATTACTGCCATTTTTTCCTAATCTGTGTGACCTTGGCAAGTTATTTATCTCATCTAGTTTCCCCACTTGTAAATTGAATATATTAATGCTCCATAAACATTGATATGAATTAATGCACAGAAAATACTTAGGACAAAGAATACCTTATGTAATTTCACATGTAAGTAACACAATTTTGAAATGGGACCTTTTTGTCTTCCTGTTTTAGCTGAAACCTTTGAGATATTAAGTGTCAGCAGTTCTAAAACTACAAAGTGAAAACTCTAGATCACTTAAGTAGAACTTGCAAGGGAAGGGACTTACTTCTTGGCTGAGCTGACCAGTCACCTGCAACCCAAAAACAAGTGGAGAGGACATAAATCATCACTGCATATGAACGGGAGAGCTCCATCAAAGAGCTGTCCATTTGAAATGACTTTCAACTTCCCCCTCCAGAACAGAGGTGAGGCATCCTCTCCTTCATACAAGGAGATTTTCATTTGTGGTCCCGTGCAATATTTGGGGCTCAGGGCCTCAAGCTGGCCCCATGCTTTAAAAGAAAACAACACATACACTAATATATATATATATATATATATATATAAATATATATATATAATATATATATCATATACATAATATATATATAGGAGAAGTCTGGTTACTCACAGAAGGGGAGAGCAGAGAGAGAGCCAGGTAGCTTCAGAAGCTTTCTATATTCCCATTGAAGGTAAGCACAATGATGTGTGTTTCTAATGAACCAGAAATAAACAAATGGAACAAAGTAGACTGGGTGGCAGAAGATGCTAGCTGTATTTTACCTCCAGGAGGAGGGTACATGACTGTTTCTCATGGACCATAGTGAAGATTGTGGGACAAGGCTCAGAGCCAGTTCAAACCTCTGTAAGAAGACTGTGGAGAAGCGAGGTGATCTCCCCTCTTTCAAAGTAAAATGAAAACTACTGAATTCCAAAGAGGGAGAGAAGGAGCCTAAGTGTCCTGCTAAAGGAAAATGTATTGCTTATGTCATAGGGAATACTGCACAGTTTCCAGTAGGTTCAAATGCACTCAAGGAAAGGAAGCAACATGAATCATCTAGCCCAGAAAGAAGCTGTCAACATTGGTCAGAGCCAGAGGTCATCAATGCTTCCTGACTGCCTGCACTTGCTCATGTACTGCTTCCCCACCCTCGACCTTCATGCCGCCTCTCCCACCACAGACTCTTGGGGCATGGGGTGGAATCTAGCCAAATGAGAAGATAAAGGCATAAGGTAACCAAACCTTCCAACCTTGCCACAGGCTACCAAATTGAAAGAGTCCTGGACTGGGAAAGAAAGATAGGCTTTTTGATATAAAGTTCGGAGGTTTTAAAGTTCACTCTCGTCTAAATCTGTGCTATTCAATACAGTAGCCATTAGCCACCTTACTATCAAATTTAAAATAACTAAAATTAGGGACACCTGGGTGACTCAGTCAGTTAAGCATCTGACTTCGGCTGAGGTCATGCCCTCGCAGTTCAGGAGTTCAAGCCCCGTGTGGGGCTCTGTGCTGACAGCTCAGAGCCTGGAGCCTGCTTTGAATTCTGTGTCTCCCTCTCTCCCTGCCTCTCCCCTGCTTGTGCTCTGTCTCTCTCAAAAATAAATAAACATTAAAAAAATTTAAAAAATAATTAAAATTAAACTATATTAAACATTCAGTTCATTATTCACACTAGCCATATTTCAAGCACTCAGTAACTACACATGACTCCTTTATTAGACATGCAAATACAGAACATTTCCATTAGCACTAATTACTAGTATTAATTACCCAACTGAGAATGTTTTCTTCTTTGTTACCAGAAGTCATCAGAAGACATACCAGAGTATAAGCAGATACATATTTCATAAAGTAGGGATAAATGAGCAGAAATGGAGAAGAATAGTTGATCTTCTGATTGCTTTCTATGAGTTATAGCTCTTCAGCGTACCAGCTACACACACACACACACACACACACACAGACACACACACACAGACACATATGTTTATACACACACACACATATATGCAAAACTCTCTACCCTACTTAAAAGTATACATCGTTATTTGCAATAATCAAAAACAAATGTAGTTCCTGTACATCTATCTAACTCCATATTCATTTTTTTTTCCTAGTGAGACAGTGATTTTATTGCGTGAGTACAAAGCCAAATTTCTGCAACCAAGGCAGAGGCTGTGGATGACTCACATTTCCAGTTGTGAGATAGACTCGCGTGGTCTTATAATATTGACCCAACCGGTAAATACGGCTCATCAGAATCAATCGGAATTTAGCATCCTGATGTTTTCTGTTCCTCTCAAGAGGCTTTCGAACAGCAACAGGTTTGTTAGTCAAATGGTAGAGATCCTCAGGAAGATCAGGGGCAAGTCCCCCGGACTTAAGAATTCTCAACACGTTAGTGCCTGTCACAAAACGTACTTGTGCAACACGATGTGAGTCACACAGGATCACACCGATTTGTGAAGGAGTCAGGTCCTCCTTGCCCAGTTTGTAGATCTGCTGTTTCGCGTCGTCAGATGTGAACTCTAGCCAGGTGGGGACGCTGCAGCGGTAAGGCAGAGCCCAATGGGATAGGCCCCTTCTGGGAGCGTGCACGCGACTCACGATGGCAGGCAGTCAGGCAGTGGTTAAAAAAACAAACAAACCAAAAAAACTTTTTTTTTTTCTTAGAAAATTTCAGGTAGAGCGAGAGCCAGTAACGCATTTAAACCAAATAAAATGATGACATTCACAATGTTCTAAATCTTTGTTCCAAATTTTACAAATAATCCCCAAATAAAAATGATACTTAAATGTCAATATTATAAAAATATTGCTAGCGGATTGAAAATTTGAAAATTATTTGCCAGTCTATGCTCTCAAGCTTTTGTGAACTTGATTTAAGTGTTATAATAATCTAAGCATTAACATGAATAATTCAGGTGCTTGAAAATCTTGGATCCTCATGACTTCTATCAATCATCACAGTTTTCTTTTTTGCCATGTGCATAATCTAGAGAGAAGGTGATTAGATTTAGTCTGCTTACCAACAGATTTGTTTTCTTTTCATCCACTACTTTCCTAAGATGTAATGTGACATATCAAAAACATAAAATCATATGAAATACTTCATCGTAAACACCAAACTACAAAAAAAAAAATTCTTTGCACATTACTCCATGGAGAAATAAGTGTAATTTTTCTGTTGAAAACATATGGCAAACTCACAAATAGTGCTTTTGCAGGTGTTTTAAATGGGAGTAATGTTGTTTATAAAATCTCCAGGAAAATGATAGCATGTGAGTGCCAGTGATGCTAGAACACTTCAAGTCTAATCCCTCCGTTAGCAAGTGTGGAAATTGAGACCCACGGTCCCTTGAGCAGCAGTCTAGGACGGGAACTAGAAATGTGTGGTTTAGAATAGGAAAAACAAAATTCATGCGTTGATCCCGGTATGTATTTGCTGGCAAATCTAGGCAAAGTCACCTAACTTCTCCAGGCTTTATAATCTTCCCACATAAAGTGAGAATAATCATAGAATACCGGCTTCTTAAATTTCTTACAAGAGACCGATTATGACTGTAACACATACAATTGATGTCAGCAATCATTTTTCTTCTCATTTGGTGTTTTAAGTTTTTCTAGGATCACCTGCTTAAAGTCATGTGGCAAAGTGGATGAAATCATAAGCCATTCACCTTCCTCTGTGTGTCCTCAGCTCAGGGATGCCTCATAAGTTGGCAGCCAAGGGTCAGCCTTACGAGGCTATTTTTACCAAAGCAGACCTTTAGTGTCAGAGTACATAAGATTAAGGAGGTGTCCATTCACGGCTACATTTGCTTTCAGACTCCTCTTTCACATTTGCCTGGCTGCCCTCAGAGCAAAAAAAAAAAAAAAAAAAAAATGTCGTAGCCCTCACCCCAAGCCACCTCCATTTCCTTTCTCCAAATAAGTGATATATGTTTTTCAAAGGAAAAATTCATCTTATATATGATTTTTTTGTGTAGGACTTTGGATATAGACATACACTATGCTAGTCAAAGGTAACCTGGAGCCAAATCAATAGAAATAGAATAAGAAAATGGAAGAATCAAAGAGTTAACCAAGAACCATTCACTAAAGTGCACAGACTGTACTGGGGAAATAAAATGAAGAAGAGAAGGTATTGGAGCTGTTCTAGATTTAGCCTCCTAAGTACATAATGAGTCCAGATATGCTTCAGGCAATCATCAGTAGACATGGCAAGGGGCACGGATTTGTCATACAAATGAGGATGTATCACCTGACCAAACACACAGAGGTGCAGTGTTTAAGGGCAGAAAACTCCAGAGTTGAAGCGGCAGCCAGTGTGCAAGCCCCACTGCCTGACACATCCTAGACAGTGTATGAAAATCTGGCTGGCCTAAGTATCAGATTTGAGGAGAAGGACCCTGGTAAGGCTCTACGGTTTCTATACTGAATGACAGGGGGACCGCCAAGCTCTGCTTTTCCATAATCAGGAGCTGGAATCCAAGTTCTATAGTTGGTCTTTACTCTGTTGTTATGCTTCAGCACTGAGGTACAGATGGCCTCCAGGCCTTATGAATTTTAGTTCAAAAATTGTCATTCCTGCTTTTCTTTTAATGGTCCTGATATTTAAGAATGAATGAACACTTTCCAAAACCCCAGACTACAAACCAAATGTAAAAGAAAGATAATTATTACACTTTTAAAAGTTATCAAATCCATTATCTACATCAAGTTGCCATCCAGATCATGGAAAAATAATTTCAATCCATCATTGGTTTTTCCCACTCCTGTTATGTTATGTTTAATTCTTGAGTGTAGTAGTGTCATTGTATCAGGGGGAAAGAATGACTTGGTCCTCAGAGTTATCACCTGTTTGGCCTCTGATGCAATCAACATTCTTTTCTCTGGTCCTTGATCAGCAGTTTATCCATATGGCTACTATACAAGCCCTTGGCTGTAGAATTTTTCTAGCCAATATTTTTCACTCTGGATGTCAGTGGTTGAACTCATTTAGGAGCAAGGAAGGAGATGGGAAACAGGAAGCTTCTTTCCCATATGTCACAGGAGCTAAAGGAAACTCCAAAGTGTTTTGTATGGCCCATCCAACTAGATCTTTTGTGCGGATATCTCTTATTTTCTTACACAACCAGGCTGTAGGGAATTCTGTTTTTTGTCTATATTGTGTATAAGTTCATGGCTTTTTCTAGGGCCTTTGACTTCCCTAAATCCTAATTAGAAGATTAAAAAAATATAATCCAGTAGTTTTGCCCTACAGGGCATTGTCAAGAGACACTTTTGAGTATCATCATTAGGGAGTAATGGCAGCCAGAAAGACGGGTCCAGGGATGTTGCTAAACATCCTAACATCCTTCAATGCATAGGACAGCCCCATAATAAAGTATTCATCAGCCAAATATATCAGTAGCATCCCTCTAGAGAAACCCTCATCTAATCTCAGGGGGTAGAAAAACCTAGTCCTGACATTACAAGTTGCATGTGCCTTGACACACTGTAGTCCAATTTTAAAGCTGGGCTTTGGAACTTAGAAAGGTTTGCTGTGGTTCAGCCAATGTAACTTTCATGAGCCAATTGATGCTGAAAGGACTAACCAAACACTGTTGGGAAATATTAAGGAAAATAAATGCATCCACCTTTATGGAAAAATATATTCCACCATGTTAGGAGCTCCAAACTGGTAGGTAAAGCATAGCACCAGAAAATAGGTGACCATTTTTACTTAAGAGCTTAGGTAGATAAGATTCATTCCAGAACAATAGGCTCCCTGCTAGACTCATTACACTCTGTAAAGGAAAAAGAGTAATAGAACTTGCAGAAGAAGCCAAGACTTTAGGAGATATTATTTTTGGGATAAATGCATTTGCATTCCATAGTTAGTAGCAAAATTGGATGATTTCCACGTAAAAGGGCAATAAACTTACTGGTCTTCAAGGTAAGTCTTTACTACTAACCCTTAGAAAACTCAGTATAGGAAAATACATAAAGACTTGGAAGGCATATCCTACATGGTTGCATTATATTCCTTTGAGCTAACTTTACACACGAATGACTTGCTTCAAGAGTCTTGCCTCTTGGCATCTTGGGAGCCCCCCAAGAATATTTTCCTCTAACTCATATGCTCTCTTCCAAGATCATCACTTTGATTTGACATCAGCACCAATGTGCCATACCTAAAAAAACTTCCACTTCTACCATCTGTCATCACTTCATACCCTTTCATTTCACACAACATTATTGCAACAAATCAAGGTCTTCAAACTGACCTTGGCTCCACAATTCTCCACAATACTTCCTGTATCCAATTTACTAGCTTTGATTCCACAATTAATTTCTACAATTACTGGGTCTATTGCAACTATTCACTCTTTTTATACTATGCTCATCTCAGTGTTGCTTTATTCCCCAAATTACCTTGATTACTCCTGCAGCCACCGATCACAGCTGAAAGAAAACCACGTCAGGTTGACTGTTTATATTTATGACCCTAGGCTCAGATAGAAACTAAGACTCATCTAGATATTCTATTGTGTTTTCTTTAAATATTTATTTTCCACTTTCCATGGTGAGTACTTCATATCTTCTGTGTTTCATACCCATATTTCCATCTCACTCTCCCTCGCTCTGATGGCCTTGGCTCAAACTTCATTGAAAACACCAAAAACCTATCTTGCTGTAAACAAGCATATTCCCTATGCTCTTTATTTCCATGACTTATTCTTCCCGCAACTAGAAGTCTATATCTCCCCCTTCCTCGCACCTATTTTGTCCAGCCATTTCCTGCTCCCTCCCCACCTGGCAACCATCAGTTGGTTCTCTGTATTTATAGGACTGACTCTACTTTTTTCTTCATTTGTTTTATTTTTTAGATTCCACATATGAATGAAATTGTATTGTATCTGTATTTCTCTCCATTTGATTTATCTCACCACTTAGAGGAATACCCTCTAGGTACATCCATGTTTCAAATGGCAATATCTAATAATTTTATAGCTCCATAATATTCTATTGTGTATGTATGTGTATGTGTGTATATATATATATATATACACACATATATATGTATATATACACACATATATATGTATATATATATGTATATATATGTATATATATGTATATATATATGTATATATATGTGTATATATATATATGTATTCAAATATTCAAGGATATTTGAGTTGTTTCCATTTTTGACTTTTATAAACCAACCTGCTATGAATAATCATGTATAGGATTTTCTATAAACATAGATTTGAATTTCATTGGGATAAATGTCATAACACATTTAAAAGTTAAGGAATTAATCAATGATTAATGCTTTTGGAAATAGAAACTTTGGGGTTTCTAAAAACTTATTAGCCATGAGAAATAGGTACTGAATTATTTTTTTTTCTCAGATAAAATATGTTCTTTCCGGACAAGGATGTCCACTTTCACCACTTTTATTTAACACAGCACTGGAAGTTGTAGCCACAGGAATCAGACAAGAAAAAGAAGTAAATGGCATCCATACTGGTAAGGAAGAAGTTAAATTGTCACTATTTGCAGATGTTATAATACCATACATAGAAAACCCTGAAGACCCACCAAAAA